ACTATGATATCTACGATGAAAAGTATTATTATTCTGGAATCTTTTTCCCCTCTACTGATCGCCAACTTTCTGTGTTCAAGTCGTCGAAATTATTTAAACGCTTTCCTTCTTTCAGATAAACAAGACTGAAAATTGCTTTCGCCTTAGGCCTATATAATTCAGGCACTCTGATTTTTCCAAGTGTCCATTCTATTCACTAAAATTTCTTAGAAATACAAAAGAGAATAAAAGAAAATAAACTAACATTATGTTTTCAATTTTCATATTAACTAGCAAAAGAATCACAAGTTTTTACTTTAAACAAATTAAACCTAAAAACACAGTAGGCCTATCCATCAGTACGGTATGTAATGTATTCCGTAAGAAAACCAAAATTGTAAAAGAGATATTATAGTTGATAAACAGATTAATATTATTTAAGGAAAGCCTTATTTCCACAACTTTTAAAAACCAAATCTTAAATTATATATAAAACCCATAGATTACAGAGACAATAAAAATACCCATACAAACATAGTAAAAAGAAGAAAATGTAATCATATTTTGTTGATTAATGTTTTTTCTTTGAATTAAAAAATGAAAATCATAAAAGATATATATCGTTTCAACAAGCTTCTTTCAAATAAAAAAATAAATAAAAATCAATAAAGATAAATAAATAAAAAAATAAACAAATAAATAAATAATAAATACAAATTTTCAATTTCAAAATAGAGCATTCTATTTAAATTACAATTCCCAACTTTATTTTATATTATTATACGTTATATAAAAACAAAGTGTTGTATAATAGCATGATAGCAGCTTAATAGGGCTATGCCCAAAAATATACAGTATAAATAATAAAATATAATGCTTGTAGACTAATATATAGACCTAGTACCAAGTAATATAACCCAAAACTGTTCCATATTTATATTATTATAATGATTCTTCCTATACAATAATGATCATCTCAATATCGAGCTCTCTTATTATATAATTATTATAATCTATGCCTAATAATAATAATAATAATAATAATAATAATAATAATAATAATAATAATAATTTATAAACATTAACATTAATAACAATGATATATCCAAATGTAATGTTAAATAGGCCTATATATGCCTATAATCTACGGTACTATAGCTAGAAATAATTCAAGACCTAAGTATAACCTAACCGTTTCGTTACAATATTATATAATTTTGAAGAATACATTAATGGCTCTTGTATAATATACAGTATGTGTGTATGAATTATATATCCTCAATCAATATCCCTCCTGTTATATTTCACCTGCAAAGGTTTATACATGCTTATGCTAATCCGTGTTACACTGGATTACAAACCGATTCAATAATCTCTTTTATTTAAGGAAGTGTAAACGCATTTCAACAGCAATGAACCAGTCACTGTGAATAAATTATTCAGACGTTACCTGCCAACTACAGAATACATACTCTGTGTAATGTATGATAACATTATTAACACTTAACACCAATCTATTATTAAAAGCAGTTTATGTCCTTCAGTTTTGTACAGCGTTTTCGTTGTAGAGAAATACAGTTCGCTCTCCAACTCAAGACTACCTTTGAGACCTGAAAATGTGAGGTGCTTTTTCGGGGTTCAGGGTTCAATCTTGAATTTGAGGATTAACTTTCTGTTAAAAGATTGAAGATTTTTATTTGGTTCTTTGACATTTTGGTGTCAAATTAGAGGGTACACTTTACATAAAAAATAATTTAAAAGGAAGTGTGGAAATAGTATGTGTGTAGGCCCTA